TGTGCCCTTTGATGGACTGGCATCCCGTCCAAAATGTCCCTCACCGTGTGCCCCTTGGTGGACTGGCATCCCATCCAAAATGTCCCTCACCATGTGCCCCTTGGTGGACTGGCATCCCGTCCAAAATGTCCCTCACCGTGTGCCCCTTGGTGGACTGGCATCCCGTCCAAAATGTCCCTCACCGTGTGCCCTTGGTGGACTGGCATCCCGTCCAAAATGTCCCCCGCCATCTGCCCTGTTCTTCTTAGGACCAGTTCCTGGCTCAGTACAATCCTGTACTAGACAAGCAGTTATGATAGGTGGATAGGTGGATGGATGGACAATCTAATGCCAAAGCTGTTTTTGAAGATTTTATAAGTTTGATGCATTACTATCTATTATTTTGTAATATTTAAATATATCTGTTTTTCGTTATCTAGCAAGATTTCAGTCCAGCAGTTGCATTATTTAAAAATAAGCAGAGATTCTATATCAAAATCGTTCAGCTTGACATTCGTAATTGTAGTATTGAGTTTCTACTAGTTCTATTGAACACTTTCTACTGACAACTACATAAATGTTTCGCTGTTTCCTCTGTACTTCTTAGAAATTTCACAATATGTACAGCCTCTCTTGGACTGAAAATGAAATGGACTGGAAAAAAATCAGTCAAAATGATCACATTTGTAAAAAATTTTAAAAGACATCAATGTCTTCAATTTTTTTTCCAAAAAGAATTATACAAAAATAAAAAGAATTATGAAACAGATAAGATCTTTCATTTGTGTGCTATGCCTCTTTCCTCTATTAATCACTACTGTTTTCCACTCACATGGGTGCTTAACAGATCCATGTTTTAATTGATTATACCTCTAACGAGGTGTGATGCAATTAGCCAGGTAAGTTAATCTCTTGTGCTTTGGTGATGTGCCTATTCAGCTCCCTTCTGTTTTATCTGCCCCCTAACCCCTATTTGAACCCTAATCGGGAGGAATCAGGCTACGCTGATGAAGTTGTGCCCCTTTATTCAATCAGTTGGACCATCCTAGAAAGGCTATAGCATTTAACCTTCTCATGGGTGAGAGTAGATAGATTGATGCTCCATTCTGAAGTCTACATATAGAACATTATGTAATCTGTATCCAGCTCTATGAGAGGAACCCGTCTGCTACCCATTGGTGGAAAGCTCAGGTCCTGAAAGTAAAAATCCAGACCAAGATTTTGTTTCAACCAACCAGTTGAGTACTCCGTGGCTGTGACTCTTCATAATCAGACGATTAGTTGAAACAAAATCTTGGTCTGGACTTTTACTCTTTGGACCTGATAATGTGACTATAGCAATGGCTTAGTGATTTTTTTTTAGTTTAAAGAGGCAGATTATTTGCCTGTTGACCGTCTCCATTTTGTATCAGTTGATCCTTTAGTATCCATGAGTCCCACACCTCCTCTAACCCTATTTATCCATGGAGTGGTGTCGTCTCTTCATGTGCGAGTGTGTGGCTCCGTGCCGCCAACGTGTGGTCGACGTTTTTCCCGAGCGCGTTCCCCCACCACACGCTCCACCCCCTGGGGCCTCGTCAGACCGGCCCCCTGGGGCCCCCGTGGGACCCCTGCTGCTGGGCGTCGGCCTTATTTGGGCCCTAAACCTGCTCTACTCTGTTCCCGCTTACATCTACTCCAAGAGGGGAGACAAAAACAGCACTGGGGTGGATGGTCACTCAGGGTGCAGGTAGAAGAAAAATAATTTGCATAATTATTGCCAAAGCTCACTGTCATCATTAAAAACTAAAAAAATGTTGTACAGAAATGATTGTATTATCCATGCCGGCTCACTCAGCAGCAGCACTGTAACATAAATGCCATGTTATGCTGGTGCTTCATTGTTAATATTAGTAAATGTCAGTGAGGCGTGTTGGTCAATGTCCACACATTACAAGGACAAGGTCAATGCCGGTGTGCCTTCATGGCCCTGAAGAGCGGCCATGAAGCCAGGTGCCCTCTGGCCAGTCTACTTTGTGCTAATATGTACTGTCGTTTTTTAGGTTTTATTTTATTTTTTGTTGCATAAATTATTTTTGTCCTGAACTACTTTTGTGAGTATAAGGCATCTTTCAGAAGTGGAATGGTGTACTTACCCCAAATAAGTTTGGGGGGGGGGGGGCGTGAGTTCATTCTTTAAGATCTCTGTTTATTTGCATATGCTTTATTTGCTTGGTCCGGTTATGATATCCTACCCTTCAGTTTTTAAAATGCTCAGCATTAAATGTTTTCGTAACACAAAGTGATGCATCCCGCAACAATATTTAGTAAGATGCTGTGTGAATTATTTCTTAAGTGTGAGTTCTGTATTTAAAAACGCCACCAATATGACCAAAGCGGGTATTGTTGACAAACACAGTCATCAGCAAACAAACACTTTATTGGAATTCATTTTACCAGCTCAGTATGATGGGATTTTTGACTGATAAATTCACTGGGAATGGAACAGTGAGACTTATGCAGCATTAACTGGAAATTAAAGTCAACGCCATGTGAAGATGAACTATCAGTTAATCCCACCATGAGGCTCACGGTTAGGAAAAGACAAATATATTCTGGTTCTAAATATTTGGAATATTTAACATATATAGATGATTGTAAACTATATGGCCAAAAGTATTGTTTAATTAAGCCAAACCCACTGTTGATACAGAGGTATGATTAAGTACACAGGTACATAATCTCCTACAGCAAACAGTGGCAGCCACACAAACCCACAGAAAGGGACCAGATCAGCCAACAACGACGCCCAACCTGAAAGGCAGCAAATCCCACCAGCAATATTCCAGCATCTAATGAAAACCCTTCCTGGCAGTGCGGACGTTACAGCAACAACAGGCCAACCCACTTCAAAGTAATACCCTTGGTTTCAGAATGAGATGCTGGACAGGCTGGTGTCTACATGCTTTTGGTCATATAGTGTATGTTGTTCTCCAGTATAAGCTCCCGTCATGTCTATTCAGAGCATTAATGGATCTCTTTTCTGCAATTTCCCGATAGTGTTTGTCAACGTTGGGCAAATTTCCATTGTTAGTCTACGTTCTATGATGAATAAACTATTTATTATCAATTATTTTAATTGATAAAGCTTGTTGCTGCCCCGCTAGGCATTTACCCATAACACCCTGCTTCCCATATTAAATACAACCCATCACTTTGCTTTTTCTCTTGTACTCGTTGTCCTACTTTTTCTCCTCTGCTGCACTTTACAGGCCGCAGTCCTGGAAACGCTTTCCATCTCCCCCCCCCGTGACGCCACCTTGCTGTTGCACCTGCCGAAGACCGTGCCTTGGATCTTCCTCCTCAGCTTGCTGTGCCCCATGGCCAACACCAGGGGGCTGAAGCCCACAAAGAGCGAGGCGGAGAAGTGAGCGATAGTGAGCAGCGCCTCCGTGTGCCGGCCGCCGTTGTGGTTGTAGTAGGTCACTGCGGCAACTTGGAGCACCCAGCAGGTTACAAAGAGGCTCACCAGCGCCATGATCACCTGGCCGGCTTTGCGCTCAGTGGACATGTGCTGGTCCAGGTCTTTGTGGCCGCTGGAGAGGACACTACGGATGTGCTTGTTCAGTGCGTAGAGCGTGACCAGGTTGGTCCCTACCATGAGCACCAGGGGGATCACCTCGTTGATGGCCAGGGAGGTGGAGGCGAACACCACAGCCTGCTGGCTAGAGGGGAACACCCACATACAGCCCAGCAGGGGGCGTGTAGTGCAGCTGATCACCATGACCTCCACCGTGACGTTGCCCTTGACGTGCGTGGTGTAGACCAGCGCCGGCAGCGAGAGGGCTAGGTTGCCGGCCCACACCGCTCCCAGGGCCGCTAGGACGCGGAGCCGCTCGCGCCGCTGCGCCAGGCTGCCCACGGCCACCCTCTGCCTCCGCAGCGTGAGGCACTGGAAGGCGCTGAGCATCAAGGTGACCCAGCAACTTACCGCCCGCCACCACACCCAGAGCAGCATGAAGACGCGGCACCAGCTGTCGTTCAGCGAGAGCTCCAGGCCCAGGTCGGACACGAAGATGGGCACCGTGCGGAACAGTGTGGTCAGTAGGTTGGCCAGGGACAAGTTCACCAGGATGGCGTTGGAGGGGGAGAGTTGCCTGGCGGCACTTTCCAGGGACAACTGGAAGACCTGGGGTCGCGGAGGGGAAAAGTGCAAAAGCCTCGGTATCAATCCACCAGACACAATGCAAAGGTTGTAGGTTCCAAACCCAGACAGCACAGATAAATTATAACTCTTCTCACTACTGTAAGTCACTTGAGATAAAAGTGCCAGGTAAATACAAATAATGTAGGAGTTACACATACAGAGAAAACATCCTGTGAGTCATTGCTTAAGAATAATCAGCCATTTTGAGTCAATTCACTGCAAGCAGGAGCAGAAGCACTCAGACAGGATGATTTAGAAGAGCAAGAAGAAAATGACAGGGGTGGCAGGGTGCAGCAGGAGACGTATGTGTATATTATCAAATCCCAGCATTTTCAGATGTGATGCTGTATAGAGTTAAAAATAATAATAAACGCAGTAAGTCACAGTAAAGTGCATACAGGAAATTCTTGTCATTGGTTCAAGGAAAAACAATATATCTTCAGATTAGCATAAAAAGGTCAAACAGGAATTTTATTCAGAGATGAATCTATTTTTGTTACAACATATCAGCTGAGGAGGTCAAACGGAACCAAATGTACAGCAAAAGTCAATCATTTAAAACGTAAAAATAATCAATTATGAGTGTGAGCATACGAGTGTGAGCAGGTGAATATTATGGTACCAGTGATATGTTCAAGTGTTCCTCGCAAAACATAGCCAGGCTTCCTTTAGAAGATCTCTCGTGTGTCACAGTGAAGAGTGAAACCACTGTGTCCGAGACTGGAAGTGCTCACGCCTCTGTCCTTACCGCTCGGATGACCAGAAAATTTCCAAAAATCCCTGAGAACACAAGGATCCCGAAGAGGATGGCGTCTGCGGTCAGGATCTTGGACATGTCGCAGTCAGGCTTTGGCCGAAGGCATCTTCAGTTCAGTCTGTATTTCCCTAGGGTCTGTTTTTTAGTGGATTTATGGCCAGATGTCCTCTCTTCAGGTGCATATTACTTTGTTCTTGTCCTCTGTCTCCAGCTCTAGTTTTATCCACAAACAACGCCCCCCACCCCCACCCCCCCATCCATAAAACAAAAGTCATCCTCACTGTTGCTGATTCAAATTCTCTTTAGGGTCCATTTACCCTAAAATTCGTTACCCAGCAACGTACCCTACATACACCAAGCAGTGCATGTTCAACACCATGAAGCCTCGACGAATCACTAAGACCACAGCAAGAGTGCAATAGGTTTTATTTAACGTATTTTCAGAGCATTGTAAGGGTAGTCTTTCACAAGCAGGCTATATTCTTTTTAAAAAGTTCCTTAAAACATAATATAATTACGGAAAACTGAAAGAAAATTAACATAAAAACTAAAAAATAATAAGTACATATTTGTATCACTTAATTGGAATAGCTTTTAGAAAACAAGGCTGTAAGGTAAAAATGGAATCATAAAATTTTGATAAAACGTAGTATGTGAAATGCACAAATTAACCGTTAGTTGCTGTGAGATCCTCAAAGCGTTTCAGCACGACTGCATTCTCACCCACAGAACCCTCCTGAATATTTTATTATATTAGCCTCAGACTAATGAGATTTTGATTTCTTGCTTTGTTACCGCAAAGACAAATATATGACACGTTAAAAACTGAAGCTGAAGTCCTATAGATTCTAGCCTCCATTGATTTATTTGGCTTCTTGAGAGTTAAATCTTGATTTGTGTAAAAATCAGGAACTCGGACAGTGTTCAGGGGAGACCAGCTGAGTCCGAGACGCTTCTGCCTCTAGTCATCTAGAAAGGTCTGTATGACTCCTCAAGCTGGCCAGCTATAGATGTTACCAGTCACCAGGAAACCCCAACCTGTCAGCAACAGAAACGCTACTCCCGGGTCCTCGGCAACTTGATCCTAACTTTTGATCAAATGCTTGCCTGTTTATTTGCTTTCCAGCAATCTGTCAATCCATGGTTAAGGTCATCCTGCTTTGATTTCACCTTTTTAATTATTGATAATGAAACATCACAATGTGGTTCACTAGCGGGACTCCTGAGGAGAGTTCAGGCAGTGAAAATCGTATGTTGTTGGTAGGGCGAGTGGCATGATGCACACATGTTCGGGTTGCACAGGAACAGAGGTGCACAGACCAGCGCGAGGCCAGAATGGTGCCCCAGAGAATGAGGCTTTTGTTAGGGATGGGAAGGACAGAGAGAAACGGGATACAGAAGCAGCTGAGGAGCTGCATGATCCTGCGGGTTTGGGCCAGTTGTTGCCTGTGTGTCCCCAAACACGAGTCAGCCTGGGCCTTCGCTGGGAGCCAGGAGGGCAGGGTGGGGGTCGGGGTGCCTCTTAAGCCTCTTAGCAGCCAAAACAAAGGTGCTGAAACGTTGACATGTGGCTGCTGGCTGCGGCCGCAGCTGGTGGACGCCTGTCTTTTGGCCGAAGCAGCTGTCGTTTCCAGGTCCTGGAGGCGATGTCATGACATTATATTCCCAGTATGTGGGGAGGGGGGGGGGGGTGACTCTGTGTGCCCTGAGATGGTTTGCTGGTTCTATATCCACTTTTCCAGTACAGGATCCCAGTGAGTCGGAACCTATCCCAGGAAAGCCAGGGGCAGAGGAAACATGGATGGGATAAAGACATGCTTTTAAATTAGAATTAGCAACCCGCAGAACCCTAAAAGAATATCTATAACATAGCCCTTATTCAATTTAAACACAAACTTTTTGTCATTTTTTAAATTTATTTTTCCATTGTTTATGTTTTTATTCTTTGCACTTCTTTTATATTTAATTTTATATTCCGTTCATCTTTTTTCTCTATTTTGTATCCTTCCTGTCTTTTCTTTTTTCTTTCTTGCACTGACAAGGATAGTCTTCCAATTTTGTTGTGCCTTGTGCAATAATGACATTCATTCATTCATTCACTGAATCGCTCACTGTGAGCGTGTATCAGTGACTGACCTCACACAGGCTGCCCAGTGGGTTCCCCCTCACACCCTGCGCTCTCTGCTGTGGGATTCTGGCCATGTGCTGCCTAAGCAGTTGTGGATGAGGGATACATGTACAGTAAAAGGCAGGTGATGAACATAAAGAGCAGGAAGCTACAAAACTGACCATAGTGTGTGAAATCAAGGCTACAACCTGATGTGACTATTTCCTGTCCTGCTCGGTTCAGGATGGTGGATGTCTCTTGTGTTCCCTTCCTTTCTCACTTCACAGTTCACCTCTCTGCTCCTCATGGGTGAGATAGCAAGCAGGTCTGATGCAGCTCAGAGAGATGCTCGTTCTCTCCAGAGCCCTATTAAAGCCAGTCCTGAGCTCAGCACCCCGAGTGGCAAATCGCATACCTAAGAATTTTCCGTGCCTTGTGATTGTGCCTTTGTTTGGTTTGCGTATTTGTTGATCATTTGGGAATTGCCATAATAGACCTATTGAAATACTAGAAATGAATGAGTCTTCATTGTTTCTGATGGGCAAATCGATGCTTCCTGTTTCTAAACTTCTAAATTTGGAAAATTGTGGATTAGCCTATTCATACTATAAATAACATATTTTTATTTTTTAAATATCAGCTTATATATATGATTTGAAATATTGTACACTGATAATCAGACCAACCTTCCACTTGATCAGACCTGTTCACTTTAGGAATATGGGGGCTAATGTTCACTGTAGGAGTATGGGGGCTAATGTTCACTGTAAGAGTATGGAGGCTAATGTTTACTATCGGAGTAAGGGGGCTAATGTTTACTACAGGAGTAAGGGGACTAATGTTTACTGTAGCAGTATGGCGGCAATTGGTCAGTATAGGAGTATGGGATCTAATGTTCACTGTAAGAGTATGGAGGCTAATGTTTACTATAGGAGTAAGGGGGTTAATGTTTACTACAGGAGTAGGGGTTTAATGTTCAATGGAGGAATAAAGAGCCAGGGGCTACTGTGGATGGAGAATGAGTATTTACTCACAGAAAGACTACAGTTTAAGTATGTTCTCCTTCCTTCTCTCTCTCTCCCTCCCACCTTCCTTCATATCCTTCAAAGGTACCACTTCAGGCCAGTGGAGCAAATCATTAGGGACCGGGAGCTTGCTGCACTCTTCGCCGCTGCGAGCCCCACATAGCTTGCATGGGCCTTTCTGTGCGTGTGCGTCAGAGAGGGAGCCGGGACACAGCAGTCTGTGTGAAGGGCTTCGTAATGATGTGCCTCCTGGACCAATGCAGGCATCTGATGGTCAAAGAAAAGAAAAAATGATTAAGGACTGTAGGATAAAATCATCAGATAAACACAGACAACAAAGAAGCATAAGATGTTAGGAATATGGGAGAGTGTCCTGGATCACAATGACCCTGTATAGAAAATGGATGGATGGGTGGATTGGTGGATGGATGGATAGATGGATGGGTGGATGGGTGGATTGGTGGATGGATGGATGGATAGATGGATGGGTGGATGGGTGGATTGGTGGATGGATGGATAGATGGATGGATGGATGGATGGGTGGATTGGTGGATGGATGGATAGATGAATGGATGGATCGTTACATGTACATACAGATTGAGTGGTCTGATGAAGTGTAACACAATTTATCCTTAACTAATTAAAAACATTCCCAGACCCTATTAGATAAGAGAATGGAATATCGATGGATGGATGGATGGACGGACGCATAAACACATCTTTTCAGTTTTACTCCACAGTTTATTCTTGACACATTATAACCATACACTAGCTACTTCACAAAATGCATCAAAACAGCACAATAACCTACCTACATAAAACAGTATCACGTACAAAATGTTTCGACATTATCACAGATTGTCGCCTCAATAAGCAATGATCTTAAGTAATTATTATGATACTTTAACATTTTTATCATATTACTGGCACTGTATACAAACAATAGGCTTATAAGTACCTCTTGCCCCTTCACTTATTAAAGAACCGTAATTCATTCAGTTTCATTAATAGTTTACTAATATTTTACACAAGACAAGTAGAACATTCACTCCTGGACGCATTCAGCTTGATACACGTAGTAAATTTAAACACTATATGCAGTGCTTGAAGTGGGCCGGAACGCAGCGGAACGCAGTTCCGGTGTTCCGGGCAATTCGGTTTCCCTATGTTTCCCCTGTCTATCAGGAAATAATGTTTCCCCTAATATTAAAGCAAAGAGGTATGTGAAATGTCTGAAAATCACTCAAGTACATTATTACATGTGAATACTGTATTGTTATTAGTTCCGAGGCCCAGAGTTGCTGTATACCTATTTTAACAGGGGGGAACCAAATATCCTGGATGTCAGGAAATAATGTTTCTCCTAATATTTAGGCAAATATGTATGTGGGATGTCTGAAAATCACTCAGGTACATTATTACATGTGAATACAGTAGATCGTCACGCATAATATAGTCTTATAAGCAATACTATACCGTTTTCATCAAGAAATATCTCTATCCAGCGAATGAAATACTTTAATTTATTATCTGTAAAAACAAAAAACATGTGATGTTTTAAAATATATGGCTTGTTTACCTCAAGAGCTTTGTAAAAAGACATGAAAACAACAGCGAAACCGTGTACAAATCAGCGCGCGACAGGGGAAACATAGGGAAACCGAATTGCCCGGAACACCGGTACTTACAGAAACTGATCCGACGCAGCGACAGTGGCCCGAGAATAGACAATATCACAAGACCGATAAAAGACTATATGTTGTTTTAATGGTTTTTCAGTATTCCATTTGTGAATTAGAAAAAAGTAGCCTATGCCTATAGGTTATTGCTTGGAAGAATGATTAAATTAAAATAGTTTTTGAACCAACACATCCTAAAGACTTGATTTTTTTTCACCGCACAAATGTCAAACGTCGGAAAATTAGAGTTCCTGCACTTATTTTTTC